GGATTTTGTCCCACCATCAACACACCACCTCCACTATCCTCATGCAAATCTGCATGTGTACACCATCCTCTGGGATGACTCACTGGTTATAAGTGTTCTTATATTGCCTCCTCACCTACAGACCATCACCCTTCATCATCTGTTTTTAACATAGGTACTAAATATCCATTGGTTCATTATCTTTCCTACAACAATTTTTCCCTTCCTCATAGAGCCTTCCTTGCTTCTATATCCTCTAACCATGAACCTAGAAGTTTCTCTACTGCCATTAAAGATCCTCGTTGGAAGGATGCCATGATTGCCTCAAACAGGTAAATTAGGGATATTCCATTGGAGAAATAGCAATGGAATGAAAGAGAAGAGAGTGATTATGAAGGGATTTCAAGACAAGAGATGGAGAAATGGGAATTGGGACCTCAACATGTTTGCTGATAAAGATGGCAAAATGGACTGGCATGCTCTCATCAAGGCTGGTCCACCTCTCTCTCCCCTACATGCGTACACATACACTCTCTAAAATGCATTAACTTTGTTAGTGTAATGTGATTCTGCAGAGGCTAGGCGAAGGAAGATGCTGGAAGTCAATCCGGAACCGTCATTGAACGAGGCTCCTGTACTCTTCAACACTTCTATTATACCATGGTGGGCTTGGTTCACAGCATCTCTCCAGCCCATCAAAGAATTATCGAATGGTAACATATTAAATTCACAATTCTGTGTGCGCATGTGTGTACGTGTGCATATATATGAGAGAGAGTGTGTGTGCTTCTCTCAGTAACGATATGCATTTGCAGGTGGTAGCACTATGGTCGGATTCTTCATGGCGTATTACATTGTGGAGGCTTTAAGGGGAGTGGGTATGATGGGACAGACTATCCATGATATGCCCATGAATCTCTTATTTGCAATCCTTGTCATTCTTCTCTTAATCCCCCAAACCCAAAAGCTTGGGGCTCTTCAAAAGTGGAGTCGGATGCCATACAAGAAATCACAAACAAAAGAATCGGAGTAAATGTTTATGTTTCTTAACAATCATCATCATGGTCAAAGCTTTTTTTCAATTAATTGGGGTCGGCTACTAAAAAAGTGCCTTTGTTTGTCACTTGTGTGTACTTTTTCCTCTTTTGTGAATATGAGGAAACAATTTGGTGAATCAAACATGTCTTGGGAGAATATTTTCTATTTACTTACAGTGACATACGACTTGGTAGTTGGTTTTGATTAATTAAAAAAATAAACTTAAGAACATGTGAGTAATTAGAAAATAAGTGGGGTGCGCATCATCTTAACCGGTGGGGACTCTACATAAACATTTAGCAGTCCATCACTTTAACATAACTGATGTATGTCTCTCAAAAATAAAAAACCGCATAACTGATGTATGCCTAAGAGGCTGTCTAGATGCAACATTGGTGTCGAATATTCTCGAGATCGCCCGAGAATCTATTTTTAATACATAAGGTTTTGAATAGAAGTGTGTAGTCTTAAGAACTCACCAATGAAAAGAGCACCAGCAATTTAAATGACGATAACTTCACATTTGCGATATAAGAGTACAAAATCCTGCAAGATATTAAGATTCTGGATATAAACCAGGGATTCTTAATAGTATTAAGATTAATACTCTTTCCCAACTTGATTGTAACAAAGTAATAACAAGCTTACGTTCAGAGATTTTTTTTTTCCACATGATATGATATTCTAAAACACAAAATGGCTTAATGTTAAACTTAGAGAAGAAACTGTACAAATTTATGCACTAATCATCCATACAAATAACATGGCAACAAGATACCAGTAAGGAAAGAAAAACCGGCCTATACAATGCAGATTCAAAAGAAAATGTAGTAGTCATCTTCATATGTTGTTCAGTTTTGAACCCATGTATCATGCCAAAAATTATCAAGGAAATGTGGAAGAGAACTACTCATCCTTAATGTTCAAAAAATAGAACTAGTCATCCTTCATTGCGACAGTAATACCAAAGTTTGGGGGAGGGACATATAGCTTTCTTTTTCTTTTTTTGCTTTGGGTATTGTAGTAGTTTTACTAAAGGCTATAGTTGAAATTATTCCAGTGAACCTGTCTACATGGCTTTAAATTAACAGCAATCAGGCCTGTTAGAATGGCGTGGTGCTATTCATACCCTCCATTTTACTGCTGGGTTGCGATTTACAGTATTCGTAAAAATAATAAGAAATAATTAGATGGTTAATTTGTAGAACAAAACATATGAAAGTCACGTTGTTAATCATCATCGGAGCCTTTTTCCAACTTATTTAAGGCCGGCTATAGGAATCTTGGTATGTCCTTCTGCTCTATCAATGATCATTCCCTCAATGAGGCCATAAATCCTCATATCTTTTGTCAATACTTCCAACCATGTCCTTTTGAGCTTCCTAATAGGTATTGTATTGGTTCTAGCTATACATTGCCAGTCCTCCTAAGTCTACTATCACCTATTTGAGACACACCTAAGTTCTCCCTAATATATTCATTTTGAATTCTTGCCTTTATTGTCTTGCCACTCATCGATCTTAACATATCCCCATCTCAACTATACTCATCCTATGGGTATGCTGTTTCTTGACCGCCTAACATTATCCCCCATAAAACAAAGTTGGTCTCACAAATGTCATGATGGAATTTCCTCTTCAGCTTCATTGGTATATAGCAATCACATAAAACTCCAGTTGCACATCCTAATATATCGAAAATGTGCTCTTTTTATATTTCTTGATTGTCAGTCTTACCTACTTCCTCAACTTTGCCCACATTATTATTAAACTTTCATTCCATATACTTTGTTTTATTCCGACTAATTTAAAATCTTTTGATTCTAAAGTATCAGTCCAAAGTGCTAATTTTGGATTGACGCCTCTTCGAGTCTCATCGATCAAAACTATGTCGTCTACAAAAAACATACATCATGATACCGTATTTTATACGCGCCTGGTTAAGACCTTCATAACTGAGACAAAGATGTATGGGCCCAATGATGTAAAACTCACTCATCTCTCTACTAGTTTGTCCATGCAATAGTTGACACTTCATCATACATATCTTTTACTAAGTCGATATAGTATCTAGAGACTCATTTATCTTCCAACACCCACCAAATTATCTCTTAAGGTACTCTTTCTCTAGATAAATAAAGACCACATGGA